TTGTCACGAGGTCGTGATGTGGACCAAGGCAGCAGACTCGATGATCAGATTGAACTCTTTGTTCGGGCCGAACTTGTGGCCAAAAAACGAGAAGTTAGATTAAAGCGGTACACACTGGCACGATAGCGGCGAACCGACCATCGGCCATCGATGAACTGACAAGCGGCGAAGCATGTCGGCATTTATACACTTGTCATTGAACATTTGGCTGTTATCGCTAGTGGCTACGTACGTTCCAGAATAATCGGAAAGGTTCACGAGGTGGGCGTAATCTTGACAAAATGATCTACTACAGCCTCGAAGCTTCTTTAACACCATAGGCGCTGATTGCGCTGAACATAGCTGTAACGGGGCGATAACAAAACTTGCGGAAAGGAACGTGGCATTATATGGATGTGTTTCTTAGCTCCCCTTATTTTGTGGGATACACTACATATTTTCAATCTCCCACTTCAATGATAATCATGCTACACGCATAAAAATGATTTCGTTCGTTCCCCAAAACTCTGTGGCTAATAGTAGACAGAGTGTCCGATATATTTAAAACACATTGTGTCTTGTCATGCTCACAAGAACAACTTGTTGTAGTGTACGAAATTTAAGCGAAGCCACATAGCGTATTCTTATGCTCAAAATACCGTTATCACTATATCAGTACAGGATGGCATACCAGAAACATCATGTGAGAAATTCAGTGGAAATTTCCTCGGAGGATGGAGATTTCTTGTGGCTTGAGTTGGACCATTCAAAATGCTTCTTTTTTATCTACGAAGAATGAACTTGCACCGATGTGGCCATACTGGCTGTTTATTCTGCAAAACGCTCGCCAAACTTTGAGCACGCTTGAAGTGCTTGAACGAATTTTCTGGTTTTTGAGAAAACAACGCTGAGGTCTGCTGTCACAAAGTTTCTCAACATTCTTGAAACAGCATCACGTTCTTGTCTTACCACCCCCTTGGTACTTGTTGTTATTTTAACTGTACCTCGTATATTTTTCGTTATTTGATACATTGTACCAGAGTAACATCCCGATTCATAATGGCCGAACGACACACAACGTGCTATTCTTTAAATGACTGTGTGGTAAAAAACATGTACAAAAAATCATAACAAATGTCTATGTTTTAAGTTGAAAGAAAAGCTGTGTTGTAGTACACATTCTTGGCAATTATCTTACTCAAATATATATATTTATCAACTATTTACTTACAGGAGTGTGAAAAACATTTCTCAATAAAGGAAAAAAAAATGTCTACCAGAACAGCTCTGTTATTTGTGTATGATGAGAAAGTTTGAAATAAAACTACGTGAGGTTGAACTCACATTGATTTGCCATGCGAAGTTTTACTGCAATTCCAGTTGCTGAAACATGTATATCTCTGCATCCTGCATTTGACGTGCGCACTTCTATGGTTACTATTGTCTTCAGTATAATGCTTTTCTTTGCCTACACACGCATATATACTACTTGTATTGACTTCCTGAGCCTTCAGTAGATAAATAAGAGATGCTTACACTGTTTAGGACTCTAATTATTTCTATTTATTTGTATAGCCATAAAAGGCAGTCTAAGTTTATATAGCCCGCTTGACAAAAAAGGGCTTGTAGTTACATCAAGGCATTTGTTCACACACACACACACACACACACACACACACACACACACACACACACACACACACACACACACACACACACACACACACACACACACACACACATATATATATATATATATATATATATATATATATATATATATATATATATATATATAAATAAATAAATAATTGAATATATATATATATATATATATATATATATATATATATATATATATATATATATATATATATATGACCTCCTTTGTGAAGCGCACATATAGCGAACGTTTTCTGTCATTACCCTTTGCAGTTGTTGACAGCGTGTCTCGTGCCTACTCATTCGATGTTCTGTGAGAGTCGTATAGCCTTACGACACCCTCGTAGAAGAGTGTTAAAGTAGTAGAACTCCCTAGGTTTAATTTCTATGGACACTCTTGGGGTGTCCTTCTGGCGACAAGCCAGTTTCCACCCTTAATGGTGTAAAAATCTACGGTGAACTCTGCCACAGTTTGCGGTGGATTACGCACGAGGCCTGCAAAAATCTCTACTTTTACTCCGCACATTGGGTGCTGCAACTTCTCGTTGGCCATGTTTTTGACGGAATGGCGTAAGAGCCGCGAGATGTCTTCTATGTGGCACGCTCTCGTTATTCCGTTGGTTCGTCGCCTGAAGAGCAGCCTCTGCCTTCTCTTTGCGGTACGTGTTCGGATAGGTTGCGATTAGCTCTCGTCGGAAGTCGTCTCACGACAGCAAGGACGCTTCGTGGTTCTCAAACCACGTACGTGCGAATCTTGCTGGGTCACGTAAACGTAAGGAAGTTTCCGGGCCTCGTAACAATCATTCAAACGGACAACGCACTCGAAGCATTCGAGCCAGTCCTCGAAATCTTCAAAAGTGTCACCGTGGAAGGCCTCCGATGTACGTGATGAATTCACAGTGAGGTAAGATGGAGATGACGTCGACTGGGTGGCCATCACATTGACGCCTGTGCTTGTGGTCTCGACAGGTCTTGATGGATCGATTATGGGGTCAAACTCGGACTGCTCACTCGTGCGTTGGTGTACAAGCGTTAATTCTGCTGATTCCTATCTTCTGGGTTCTGGGCTTCTATTCCTAGCCTGTTGTGGGCTTAGAATCAACCCAGCACCTCCACCAGAATGTTATTAATAGACATAGCGCCTGGTACTATAAAAACTATTTATTTAGGGCAAAGCAGTGCCCGTAAACTCCAAACTAAATGACTGAAGAAAAATGTCCCTTGCTCGCAACCTCGACTTTCGTCGGTCTCTCTTTTTCACCCCTCGAGGCTTGTGTCGGCGCCGTGGCGTAGCATCGTGGCGCGTGCAGGATGGCCTTCCATGGTGCAGTTTTCTTGCCACTTGCGTGGCGGCTTTTACAAACCCAAACTGTTGCACGCGTCCTGTGCAAATGTTAGGCACTCTGCAGCCAAGTTTTCCTGTGTGACTGCAGCGCCAGATTGCAATGCCTGGTGGAGAAAAACGCAATTGTAGGATAGGGTCAGTGAAAGTGGAACGCGATGCCCACGTCTCCCTGCCCGCGTGAGCGGGCGGACTGCTGCAGTGATACACGGGGACGCGTTTTCAGCGTGCCTTCACGGCCTACGTCAGTGAACTTAGGTTGGGCTAATGCCAGCAACGCTCCCTCTAGTTAGCGGACGGTGCTATATATTTGACCGTTCCAGCGACTATAGACAGCGCAGTGGAAGGTCAAAATGGCGGACGAGACGGTGATGTCGCGAATCGTTTACGTCAGCGTTGTAGAGCGTGAAGACGCGTTCATTGGTTTATGACTACTGAAAGAGCAAACTACGTCGCAGTTTTATCACAGTATGACAGCTTCGGAGCACGGCTACTTGGCGCTGCCTGCGTCGCTAGAATGGCCGAATAGAGCAAGTTATGAAACTTCAAACACATATTCTAATGATATTAATTTGAGGAGCACACTCTAAATACTCTCTAGTTGAAGAGCAAGACACTCGGACTCGGCAATAACAAAGAACAATAACAAGAATGATAACAGCGATGTTGAAGAAACGCTGTGGTGTCCACTATCATTGAAGAGGCGAAGAACAGCGCAAAAGTACAGTAATGAAGAATATTATGCGCAGGATATATAAACCATGCAGTCCAGAGTATTCTCTTAATTTTTGGATCATATAAGTTTATTTTACTCGTAGATTGCTTGGTTTTCTCTTCAAGAGTATTTCTGGGGTGTTCGGTACATCAACATTTGCGCGTGGAACGTCTTTTTAGAGAATTTTCTACGTGCTCAAAGATGCTATAGCGCTTCTTGATTTATTCATTGATGAATCTAGTGGTCTATACAGCCGAGAAGGCTACAATCATTAGAAGATAAATGTAAAACACCAGATAATGCAGATGTCAATTGTTCCCGTTGTTATGCTCGGCCTGTCTGGCTAAGGCGCCACTTGGACGAATGAGAGGTTGAGACTAAGCCTACCCTGATTTGTTTTTGGTCAGTGCTCCGAGAGCAGAGATGTGCCAGAAGCAGCGAGAACACAACAACAGTACTTCGAATTTTGCAGCGCAGTCGTCTCCCTTCGTGAAACTCTTCGAGCATGCCCGACCGACTGAAAAAACGGCATAGAAAGGGTGGTTATCTCTGCATTGCCGCAAACAATAAGCCAAGTGTCTAGAATTCATGTTTGGGTGCATTTACCACGTTCTCCGTGGTGTCTTCATGCCGCCTTTACCCCAAACCATGGTCTGCCCAGCGCCACACGCACTCATCACTGCAACGAACTGCAGAGCTGATTTGCACGTAGGACCCAACGTCTTCGCGCTACACTGTATCGTATGCCTAGTGTGTAATGCAGTGTTTTCTCCTTTGCCATGAGACGAGAACGGGGCGTGCCTTTTCCCTCTTTTCCTGGGTTGGGAAGGAGGTGGTGTTTTTTGTTACCATTTTGGGGGTGGATGTGACGACAACATTTTCACTGGAGTGTCATGGCCTTCACTGCTTTACCCTTCAGGGAATCCTGGGAAGACTGGGGCATTAAACGCGAGCGCCCAGACGCTCCTAATAAGCTCCCATCAAGCTTGCATCTAGAGCTTCCATGGAGCTACCCCATCATGTATTAACACGCTACCTGTTAATAATGTCAATACAATTTGGTTTTAACAGATTCGGCCTGATATCCTCGACATCTCCCCGATACTTTGGCTGGCTCTAGTCCTATGGGCAGACCTCCGACTACATCAACTGGTGGCAGTGGTGGAATGTCACCGAATCCCCGATTACATCAGCTTTTCTTACCATCCTCCCTGTATATAGCGCCACTGATGAAAACTTCTCATTTCAATCCTATGGGCATGTTGCGAACTGTAGGCTTAGATGCAAGACGTTAGGACTTACCCTGTTCCTACTTCTGTGTCGTCGACTGTGGGACCTTTTCCGCGCGCTGAAAAGAGGAACGCGACGAATAATAAAGCGAAATATAGCTGTCACAATTCATTGTTCGAACATTTCTTGTGATTGCTGTGACTGCAATATGCGAACAGTTGCTCAGTTTTGTGGAGTTTTGCGGAATATATTGCATCAATCAATGAAGCTCTACGATATGATTACATGTAGTGTGTCAGTTAGGCTGTTGTTATTGCAGTATACTTGAATCCACATTACTCGTGCTGCATGTTATGTCTATGCAACGATCTAAAATGCACCTAAATGTACAACTAGTGGTCTTTTTTTTTTGTAAGATAGAAATATTCTAGAAATGGAGCTTCAGAGGTTGGAGTAAAAATAGTTGAAAATCTTTTAGTACATCAATCGCACTGTTTCTTTGTTTGTGGAGTAAAGAAGTAAGCTTGTGAAGTGCATGCAAGACATGCTAGTATTCTGCTGTATATTTCACGATGACACGAATTAATTAGACAAGACTGATCACAATCAGAAGAGAAAAGAAAAAGCAGACAACGCGCCCAACCTGTGACTCGATGGACGCAATCATTAGAGTGCAGTGATTTCGAAGAAATGAACAGTCTTTAGATTGGAGGCAGTTTAACAGGCAACCAAACGTGTATGCAATTGGTACATTGTTCATTGGTATGATAACATGAAGATCGACTTGGTCAATCATAGAAATTTCAAGGATATGTCTCGAGCCGTTTCTTGTCATCATTTACTTAAAGTGGTTTTATCCTGCTTTCAACCGTTATCTTGCTTTAAAGTTTCGCAGTTTTATTCAAGTGTAATCTTATGCCCACCCGCTGTGGTAGATCTCGAAATCAGACAAGTAGTATCGTTAATATTGAAATACACAAAAAATAAATAAATAAACAGAGGCCGATCATACCAGGGATGAAAATTTGAGGCCTATTGTCGTTATGCACAATTCTTTATAAGACCAACCCGTCCAGCCACTGCTTCTCAATTCCTGTCAACAAATTACCTACAGATGTCGCGGAAAATCGTCCAAGTTAACGTCATTTTAAATCCGGATCTTTGTGTTGTCTCCTCTTTATTTTTTGTCAAAGATAATTGACGATGTACCCCGTTCATGCTGTGCATTTAGCGTGAAGTAACCATATCTTATCATTCTCAGGGCAAAGCTCTTACAGCATGGCTAAAAACAGCATGACAGCATGGCTCTGCAGTTACCATGCAATCGGCTAGGTTTATCGGCACAACTTCTGTCGCAATAGCCAGATCGTTTTCAAACACTGAGATGTATTTCAGATGGACTTGCTCGAATGCACACCAAAGGAGAAATCAGTCACCTTCAGCCAGTAACCATTTTTTTTTTTTACAGTGAAAGCTGTTGTGAAATCCGAGCACGGATCCCGCGTGGTGCTGTAGTTCGCCACCGCTGGTGTCCGTAATCAGTATCGAACGAAAAAAAAAACTCAGTAAATAAAACACCCACGACACAATGGAATTTGATCCGGGGTCCGCTGCGTGCCTACCCAGTATTCTACCACTGAGCCACACCAGTGCTTGGGACTTGTTTCTAAACTTGCCTTAGGCAGGCTTGATGTCGGGAAAGGAATCGCGTTAATATGAGTAAAAAAAGCGTTTGATACATCAAAGGAGCATCCAAGTGTCAAACAATGCGAATTGCGTAACGAGTGGATCGTTCGATGCTCCAACCCATTAGAAAACTTATTCTTGATCACCTATTAAATGTGGCGCATACCCACTTCAGGCATAATTCTTCATCGTCGACGGCCACTGCATAAACAATTGGCACAAAATTTCCAACAAGTGTGTAATGGATACCGCACTTCTCCAAAGAATTACGAACGATAACATATATTGAATGCTGGCCTACTACAAAGAAATTATGATCATTAATGGTGTAGTGGGTACCCAGCAGTATGCTTCTAGCACTTACAAAAGAGTGTTATGAAAGGCTCTGAAAGGCCGGTCTTCCAGCTTTTGCTGTGACTGCTGCGCGTTTCACGCAGGCCTGGTGTTTTAAAGACGATAGTGTTTCTTGGGGACCTTCGACGCAAAAATTTTGGTCTGTCTGTCTGTCTGTCTGTCTGTCTGTCTGTCTGTCTGTCTGTCTGTCTGTCTGTCTGTCTGTCTGTCTGTACATTTGTCTGTTTGTCTACCCTTTACTGCATTGGGTACTTGAAATGGTCGACCCTATCCGCAGCACCCGTCAATGTTGCTCAAGATTCGGCGTTCATACTTGTACAATTGTAAATTAAAAAGCAATTAGTGCGCATGTCTGGAGCACCATAACAACACGTATATATTCTGTGTGTGCGTCTTTTACTAGAAAAGGCATACAAAAGTAATTTTAGGGACCGTAGCGCTTATCACGCTGAGCTGACCATGCAACACTTGCACGAAAAGGCGAGTGTTTGCAACGCTTTTCTAAGACGAGACGGTGGTGGCACTTACCCGTAGGCTTAGGTTCTACACCTTATCACCGCTGAGACAGGTGCGCACACTCGCCTCAGAGCCACGCGCTGCGTTTTCCGAGAAAACTGCCAGGTGACGCTCATGCCGCACGTGTGACGTGACTTGATGTGTTCGTTCGTCTCCGCTGCACACTCGAGGTACTCTAACGCAGCGGCTCCAGAATACCATTCACCGATTGTCTTGCGCAGAACATCAAATAAATGTTTTGTTCACTCTCTCCCCACGCAAGACTATCATCTTTCAAGAACATTTGCAGATTACATGAAGATACGGGGCCAATTTTTTAGGGGCGAAGCTCCTTATTGTGTGGCTTGTGCGTCCCTCGTAGTACGTAACCACCAGTGGCACATACTCGAAATAGGTATAACATTTGACCTCCAAGGTGGTGCCGGTGAGAGATTTCTTCTGGGCATTGTTTAACAATAAAAAATAGTGCTCAATGTACATGCTAATGGTTGCTAATGGGAAATGAGAGACAGGAGCATTTGGCTTTTAGTCAACGCGCACGCTGCGATCCCCATTAGCAGCCATTGGCATGTACATTGAGCACTATCGGACAAGAAAGGGTTGCTACATTATACTCGCTGGGTGTAACCTCCTTAGTTTTAGAAAGGTTTAGCGAGCGTTGAGCCGCAGGGCCATGAATACAATGAACTAGTATATACCATGAATGAATTCGAGGTAGTTAAATGGGGGAAGCAGATACGAAGCGCAAGCCGTAAGAAATTAAAAGCTGAATCCTCCTGTCTCTCATTTCACATTAGCAGCCACTGGCATGTACATTGAGCACTATCTGACAGGTTGCTACGTTATACTCACTGGGCGTAACCTCCTTTGTTTTAGAAAGGCTTAGCGAGCATTGGGCCGCAGTGCCATGAATACAGTGAACTAGTATATACCATGAACTCAAGGTGGTTGAAGGTGGGAAGTAGACCCGAAGCGCAAGCCGTAAGAAAGTGTGCGTGTGCCACCTCTCGTTTAGTCCTTGGAATGTCCACTGAATGGCGGTGCTTCTATATGGGGAATATACGATGAAAAGATGCGAGATGGTGGGACTTGGAGTGTTGAATAGATGGACGAACGGACACACAGACAGATTCATGGATGGATGCATGAACGGACGCAGGGGCGGATACATGAACGAACGCAGGGATGGGCGCACGAACAGACGCATGGACGGTCACACAGACGGACGCATGGACGGACGAATGCTTCACCCCACTCTCCATCATTCACTCCGTGGATATGCTGCCATTTTTTTTTCATTCCTCACCAATAGCCGTTTTTTTTCGAGTTTTCTCATGGGCCATGAGAGCACGCTCTGTGAGGCATTAACGCACGAAAGCCCATGAGGAAGAAGGATAGTATACAGCTGCTACGCCTCTCAAGTACTTTATGTGCAGCATCAGTATAAGTAACATTTAGTCCGGCACTCTGTGTCAGGAAACATTACCCACCAGTTCATTCACAGCAGCCCTTATGTCACTTGTCGGGCACCCATCGTCTAAAAAGTGCCTGTATATGTGTCGTGTGCTGGCAAGTGATGCAGTTACCTGACCAAGAGCTTTATCAAGCCAGGGACCTTTTTTAATCCTATGTATTAATAAAACGGCTTGATTGATCGATTCATTGAATGATTGATATTCTTTTATTAAAGCACAGTTGTCTTGTGGCTATAAACTTACGATCTGTGGTGCCCGTCTTTGCACTAGCGCAGATCGTAGCACAAACCCCATTTGTCAATAAATTAGGTAGTGGTTAACGCATAGCTCCTACAACGAAAGGTATAATTGTTCAGTAGCTTGGGATACGAGATCACTTACGTGCGCAGCGCTGAAGGCAGTCTTGGATTGTCGCGAAGTTGTTGCGGTTGCCCCCACAGCCATAGTACCAAAATCCGTAGCAGCGACCGTGGTAAGGGTCGTAATAGAATCGGGCTGATCCATGCCGGTTCGGCAGAAGGCAGTAACGACCGTGGTCCGGGTGGACACGGCACCGGTTGCGTATGAGCTGAAACTGTCGACCTGTAAAAATGCAAGTTGGTCTCGAATCTTCGATATTGCTATGTTCTTATCGTTGCCGTTTTTTTACAGCTTCGATAAGATTACACAGTTGTGAGCTAATGTAGTCATCTAGTGCACAAAGCATGACCATGGCATTTTAGAGAATTATCAAAAGAAGTTTTCGGCTCACCTACTAGCATCCTACATAAGGAAAGAACATGAGCAGAACAGCCATCTAACTACTAAGGTCTTTAGATGGTATTATTGGACAAGATAAATCAGCGTGAGCTTCAGCAGCCTGCATGTAATTATGCTGCACCCGCGAGCCCCCCGGCCCTACCCTACAGAGGTACGTACTGAATACTAAACGTCTGCATATGCATACCAAAAAAAAAAAGCATAGCAGTCGGTAATCCTGTGGTCCACATTTCTACCCAAGTGACGTGCACTAAGCTTTAGCTTAGCAGGCTCTGAGCAGAAGAAGAATACTTAAGTGAAAGTGAAGGGTTCCAGCAAGTTTCATACGTGGGCACAAGAAGAGAGGAACGTCCTGTGCGTTTCTCTCTACTTGTGCTCCCGTCTAAAACTTGCTGGAATCCTTTTTTTTTCACATCATGTACCAACTGGTCCAGAAAACCACACCGCTAAAGAATACTTACGTTTTATGCATGTTTCTTGGCACTCCGCCATAGTCGGAAAGTTATTGCCCAGATACGCGCACTGTTCTCCTCGCAAGCATTTTCTCGTCTTCGGGTCATAGTAAAATACTGCATGAGCTGCAACTTTTAAACAGGACGACAAGGGACGTGGAGCATCGCATACTGCCACTGAAATGTAAAACAAAATTCACTGTTGTTTCCAAAAAGTAATTATATAGAAACGAGGCCGTTGAACTGTAAAAGTGTGTGATCGACTTCTTTTCTTACGGAGGAATCTTGCTTTAAAGGACAATAAAATCTTTTCACAACTTACTTCATAGGGAAAGATCATGTATGACAACGTATAAAGCGACAATGCTATCAACAGCAGTGTCCTACTTACCGAGAAATAAAATAAATGCACGACAACTCATGTGCTACGCGTATGACATTCGCAAAATGATCTCTGCGACGTGAGATGTCCTGCCTACAATAAACACCAGTAATCAGACTAGCTGCACTAAATAAAGAACCTTCCGAACATGATTGATATGTGGGGTTTATTGTTCAAAAACCACCATATGATTATGAGAGATACCTTCCGAACATGAAGAGACGTAATGAAATGCTGTTTCTTCGTTTCTGTTTGAATCATGGAAAAGAGTTCCACTGGACGTTACTATGGGCAATGGTGCGAGTGCTTCAAAAGTTCAATTTTTGTCTGGTTAAACTAGACAGATCGTGTCATCTAGCGGGGCCCAGTTGAACCAAGCACATCTGCCATCTCGGAGGCCATGGCAGAAAATTTTTCAATTGCTGTTGTTGCTGCTGTGGCACCCGCTACTTTCGTTCTACTGCTATAGTGTCCGCGGCCACGCAGCAAAGCCGAGCAACGTTGTGCACGGCAGCGGTGACGTGAGACGTTCCTTTTCAGGCGGGTAATTTGAAGTGCGCGAACCCGATGCAGACCACTGAATCGTGATTGATTTCAAAATAAGTACTTGCTTGGCACAAAAGTAACACTACGAGATTTCACGACTGCTATTTTAACAATTAACGTTGACTCAATGGTAGCATTTTATGTCGCTTCAAGAAGCAGGAAGCCTCTCTTAGAACTGATCAGAGCTGTCTTGATTTTCTTCGCAAGGATAGGATAATTGGAAGCTCAAGAAGTTAAAACCATGCCAAAGTCGACACATTTGACAACAAGTGCAAGACGATCCTGAAGTTAGCCTGGTAGAATCATGTCGAGTTAGCAAGGTGTGAATTTCATAAGTACCGCATTCACTAAATTTTCTTTGATTTTACCGTTTGGCCTGAATTTGGAATCAGAAGTTTGGAGGTAGACTTGCAGTCGTCGTCGAAACGAAAAATTGTGTACGCTGAGGCATGGTAACGACATTATGCTTACAGTCCTGTTCTACTTGTACTATATTGCGTTTTCTCGCATTCAAGCAGCACCCTCAGCAACGAATCGCGGAAAGTGTTCTAAACAAAAATCCCCATGTTCCGTTGCGAAGCTAGCTTTTTTGCATAGCTGTAAAGCACTGTCGTGAAACCATCTTTTACAAACTAAAACTTTAGTCAATGAAATGCACTCGAGCCTTTTTTTTTTGCCGTGCGATTTTCGAGAGGCCGACCTACATTCGAACTGACTTGTAATTATGTAAATATGGTACAGATGTCAGGGACATAATGGGTGATATTTGGAACGTGTGATATGAACGAACCGTGAAAATTCAGATCATTATTTAGCCTAATGTAGAGAGTGAGATGCGCGAACGCTATTGTATCCTGTCATTCAATGAACTAACTGCACTGAGTTCATAATAAAAATGCAGCAAGATTCAACTTTCTTAATTTTTCGTCAAAGTACAATCCTAAAAAAGCAAACTTAGGGAAAATGTGGCACGATGAAACAGGCCGTGGGCCGCGAGTTTCTTCTTTCAAGTACCACGAAAAGAAATTTTGTAGGATTCCTTCCAAACACTCCTGTTATCGCATTCCTAATATTTTTAAGCTGACTCGACGTGTTGAGAGAACATCCGCCCTTGAACAAACTCATTTTTCGGAACTGCCCTTGCAATAGGTTTGAAGATTGAAGTTTGAAGTTTATTGAAGAGCAAGCATACATATAAATGAAGAGATAAGCGGACTAGATGAGGAGGTGCCAGAATAAAAATTTTCGGGAGGACCTCCTAACACATTGTGAATAAGATGATGCATAATATGCAACAGATAATTGGTGTTGTGACGAAGTTCTAAATACAGTGTGTAGCGTGAACAAAATGAACAAAAACACTTCACCCAATTTTCAAAAATACGAAGATAAACAACAAGCCTACAATTATTAGAAAAGCAGAACTAAACCATACATAAAACTACGTTTTCTTTAGAGGTGGTGTACATCCAAAATTACACTATAGGAGTAGCGACACTATTATTACACGTATAGCGTGCAATTCATCAAATCAGTGCAAAACAAGCAGAAAGTAAAAAAATGAACCAATTTCAATTTCCTAATTGCACCTATATCTAACATGTTCTGTTAGTTCAGTGATTAAGTGTATTTTGGTTCGTCGGCAAAATGAGCTTGTCATGCAAGATTTATAATTTCAGAAGGAATTGAGTTTCACGCAGACACACCAGCAAATTTAGCAGTCAGTAAGTTTGTGCGAGCTTTAGGTAAATGGAAATTCTCACACACAGAGAACCGGGTTCTAATATTATTAGTCAAAAATTCAGGTGAGAAACTTTCTATGCACGCATCGTGATGAATAAGGCGAAACATGATAACTGCTGATTTCAAAGTAAATAATTCGTTAAGTAGAAGTATGTTTAGGTCAACGTATGGGGGATGGAGCGACAAAGGTACGGACTGAACGTCATTAGCCGCACCGCTTGGTTTTGGAGGCGTCGTAGATTATCTAGATGTGTGTTGTGCGTGTTTCCCCAAGATGATAAGCAATATGAAAGGTGGCTGTGAATGTCAGAATAGTATAGTGACAGGATAACATGTGGTGGAAAGTATGGTCGTGCTTTCAGAATGACATGAATACCGAAAGAAATTTTTTTAAGAAGAGACTGCGCATGAGTATGGAACTTCAGATATTTATCCAAGATGACGCCTAGAAACCGAGTGCTATCAGAAGCAGGTATTGTGTGATGATTTAATAGAATCGAAATAGGCAAAGTAATCATTTTCTGTTGGGAATAAAATCCCATAAACGTTGTTTTTGTAGCATTCATTTGCAGTTGATTATTCAAGCACGGCTGGTGAATGCTAATAAGGTCCTTATTTAGTGCATTTTAAAGTGCGATCGGATTGCTGCTGGACGTAAATATAGTCGTATCATCCACAAATAGGAGACATTTAGAGCTTTGAAGCACACTAGGCAAATCATTATAAATAACAAGAAAAGTAGAGGACCCAGAATTGAACACTGAGGAACAACCCTGTTAACTATTTTTGCGGAAGAAACGTGACCGTTAATTTGCACGATTTGACGTTAATCGTTTAAATAACACCGAATGAGTTCAAGGGGAGGGCCAGAAATACCAAAGAATTCAAGTTTGTGAAGCAGGATTGAGTGGTTAATTGTATCAAATGCTTTAGTAAGGTCAATAAAGACAGCACTAAAATTAAGCCCTTGTCAATGGCTTCTTTAATTTGACCAGTAAGATAAAGAAGTGCAAGCTCTGTGGAATAACCGGGTCGAAAACCAAACTGGCGTGAAGTTAATAGGTTAAATTTAGTTAAGAAAGACATGGGTCTTGAGTACAAGAATTTTTCCACTGTTTTACTAAAAAATGGTAAAACGCATATGGGCCGGTAATTGTGAATACATTCACGAGTGCCTTTTTTTTTTGAAAATAGAATCATTCTTCCTTTCTTAAGCAAGTTCGGAAACGTACCATCTTTAAACAGTTTGTTGATAATTTCTGCTAGAATAGGGGATACTTCTTTTGGTACTACTTTTATTCTGGATAGATGGATGGAATCTAATCCTGGGCCAGTTGTTTTTAGCGATGAAATGAGCTGAAAAACTTCATCTGCCGATGTGGGGAAGAAATAGAAAGACCGATCACAACTCGGTACAGAAAGCAATAGCACATCTGTTTGCGAGTGAGCAGGATCACCAAAATGGTCGCAAAACGCATTCGCTCGGGATCAGTGTAGGTGTTGCCAGTTTTTGTTATTTTCTTCACAGAGGGTTGGTTGCCATCGCTATTGAGAATATGCGAGTATTAAAGATTACGCCTACGAACCAACTGTTTTTGCTGTTTGATTCACACTTTGTTCAAAAAGTCACGTCAGAAAATAGTTAGAGATCTCCCTTTTTTGTAGAAATACAGTAAAAGATCGTTAATTAGAATTGCATGGGACCGAGAAAAATGTTGAAATCCACTGAATGCTGAATTTTCGAACGTATCAAGAAAATAATGAATCTTGTGACGAGGCGAGATTGACGAGCACACAAAGCGCCTCAAACAAATACGATTTTTCGATCGCAGCAAACAGACTGCAACGACTTCTTCGTTTTTTGCCCTCGGCCAAAGACACTCGCGCTCCTTCGTTGTCCTCACCACTGGCACATACGCGCGTCATTATTCCCCCTTTAAAGAAAAAACATCGTCCCGATGTTAAATGTTTGAGAAGCAAGGCGAAACCAAAACTGCACAGTTAGTCACTGAAAGTAAGGCTTCATCCGAAGCACGTGGACAATTTCTGGTGAATGTCTGCGCCGCTTTGAACACTGCACGCCGTCCGGAACAACCTCGTAGTTGACGTCACTAATGCGTCGCAGAACCTTCTAGGGCCCGAAGTATCTTCGCAACAGCTTTTCGGAAAGCCCACGCTGACGAACAGGTGTCCAGACCCATACTTTGTCGTCCACGTTGTATATGACGGGTCTGTCCCGGATGTTGTAATACTTGGCATCGTCGTCTTGCTGTTTGGTGATTCGCAACCTGGCAAGTTGTCTGGCTTCTTCTGCTAGCTGGGTAAACTTTTCGGCGTCTGTCTCATTGCCATCATTTTCATGAGGGAGCATTGCGTCTAACGTTGTTGTAACCTCGCGTCCGTAAAGGAGACTAAAGGGTGTCTTCCGAGTGGTCTCTTGACGCGCCGTGTTGTACGCGAACGTGACGTAGGGCAAAATGATGTCCCAGTTCTTGTGCTCTACATCTACGTACATGCTTATCATGTCAGCCAGGATCTTGTTGAGGCGTTCGGCCAGCCCGTTGATCTGGTGATGATACGCCGTTGTCTTCCTGTGAGCTGTACCACTTAGTCGGAAAATGGTGTCCAAAAGCTCGGCCATGAACGCAGTACCTCTGTCGGTGATGACTATTGCGGGGGCACCGTGTCTTAAGACGATGACTTCGATGAAAAACTGCGCCGCTTCAGCTGCCGTTGCCCGTGGCAGAGCGCCTGTCTCCGCGTATCGGGTCAGGTAATCCGTGGCGACGATTATCCACGTGTTTCCAGTGGCAGACTTTGGGAAGGGGCCCAGAAAATCCATGCCAATTTGTGCAAACGGTGTCGCCGGCACTCGAACAGGCTGCAGCAGACCAGCTGGTTTGATGGATGGTGGCTTGCGGCGCTGGCAATCTAGACATGCCTGCACGTAAGTTTTGACAACTTCGGCAAGTCTTGGCCAGTAATAGTTCTGCCTTATTCTCGCCAATGTTCTTGCGTAACCCAAGTGACCAGCGGTAGGTTCGTCGTGACAGGCTTGCAGTACCTCACGGCGAAGCGAAGAAGGAACGACGAGCAAGTAGCTGCTGCCGGTGGGTGAAAAGTTCCTCTTATAAAGAACGTCATTTCGCAAGCAGTACGACGGCAGCTTTCTCGCAAATAACTTCGGAACGCTATTCGCTCGCCCTTGTAGGTAATCTATAAGTGGTAGCAGCTCAGCATCGCCACGCGGCTGTTGAGAAAAGGTGGCAGTGTCCACAATTCCGAGAAAGGCCGTGTCGTCATCGTCGTTGTCCGGGGATGCCGTCTCAACAGGAGACCGAGAAAGACAGTCGGCATCGGTGTGTCGTTTTCCCGACTTGTAGGCAACAGTGAAGTCAAATTCTTGGAGCCGAAGACTCCATCGTGCAAGGCGGCCAGACGGATCTTTCAAGTTGACTAACCAACAGAGAGAGTGGTGATCGCTGATAACGGTGAATGGGCGGCCGTACAAATAAGGACGAAACTTCAGGACTGCCCATACCATCGCAAGACATTCTTTTTCCGTCGTAGTGTAATTAACTTCAGCTCGGGACAGCGTCCTGCTGGCATAGGCGATCACGTTTTCATTGTTGTCCTTCGACTGTACGAGCACTGCTCCAAGACCCACATTACTAGCGTCTGTATGAAGTATTGTCGGTGCGTCTTCATCGAAGTGGGCCAGCACGGGGGGTGTTTGCATTCGCTGACGAAGCTCGTGAAATGCCTGCTGTTGGTCTTCGCCCCATCTGAAGGGGGTATCTTCCCGAGTAAGCTGTGTCAATGGCCATGCGATGCGCGAAAAATTAGCAATAAACCGCCGGTAATAGGCACAGAGTCCTAAAAAACATCGCACTCATTTTTTGTCTGATGGCGTCGGGAAGTTTGCCACGGCGGCAATTTTATCCGGGTCGGGTGGGATCCCTTGGCTGCTCACGACGTGACCGAGGAATCGAAGTTCGTGGAAGCCGAAGTGGCACTTTTCTGGTTTTAGAGTAAGACCGGCCAAGCGTATTGCTTCAAAAACTGCTTGGAGCCTTCGTAAGTGTTCCTCGAAAGTCGCAGAAAAGACAATCACGTCATCGAGGTACACCAAGCAGGTTTGCCACTTAAGTCCCGACAGAACCATGTCCATGAGACGCTGGAATGTTGCTGGCGCCGAACACAAACCGAAGGGAAGAACCTGAAATTCATAAAGTCCTTCGGGCGTAACAAAGGCGGTCTTCTCACGATCTCTCTCATCCACTTCAATTTGCCAGTAGCCGCTTTTTAAGTCCATAGACGAAAAGTAGCGTGCGTTTCGTAGTCTATCCAATGAATCATCAATACGCGGCAGAGGGTAGACGTCCTTCTTTGTGATCTGATTAAGCTTACGGTAGTCGACGCAGAAACGCAAGCTACCGTCCTTCTTTTTGACGAGTACTACAGGTGATGCCCAAGGACTGTTAGACGGCCGAATAACACCATCATCTAGCATCGTTTTCACCTGTTTTTGAATTACCTCACGCTCCTTTGGGGCGACTCGATAAGGATTTTGCCGGATGGGTGATGGAATCCGTGATGATGCGGTGTTTCGTCAGTGCCGTTTGACCAACTCTTGATGTGGATGAGAAGCAGCCGTGGAACTTGTTGATCAGGTGAGAAGGCGGTCTCACTCAATGGGAGATAACATAGGACCAACGTCTACAGGTGTCGGTGTAGTGATAGTAGACGCTGCTGCTTCCTCCACTAAATGACAATCTTCTGTTTGCGAGAGTTCGTCAAAATAGGCAATAGCCGTGCCTTTAACTATGTGTCGGCGTTCTCTGCTGGAATTTGTCAATAGCAGTTCAGCGCATCCGTCAATAACAGTGATGACAGCCCTGGCAACAGAAATGCCGCTAGTGAATGCGAGCTCCTTGATGTGTTCAGCGATGCCAGTACCATTTTGTAATTTGGCACAGTGCACGGATACGAGAGAACAACTTCGTGGCGGCAGTATGACGTCGTCATCGGCAATACGGAAGCGAGGTGGCTGGTGTTCCTCATCTGTAGCAGTCTCCGAGCTTACAGTGAACGTTACGCTTCTGTCACGGATGTCAATCACATCCCCGTATTCGCGCAAGAAATCCATTCCCAATATGAGCTGTTTACAGCACTCGTGGAGAATGACGAGGGTGGCGACAAAGGTGGAACCAGCAATGAAGAGTCGGGCCGTGCACTTTCCAACCGGTGTCATCAACTGACCTCCTGCAGTTCTTATATTGGGTCCCTGCCATGGCATTTTCACCTTCCTTAGTCTTTCGGCTAGCTGTAGGCTTATTATAGAAAAGTGGGAGCTAGTGTCCACAAGTGCCGTCACTTGGTGGCCGTCAATGTGAACGACGAGGTCAGCGCTAATAACGTCGGTTACGTCGGCAGTTGTCTCATTCGTCGAATTAGTCGTTGCTGTCGTCTTCTTCGGTATCGATGGCTTCGAGCTGTCACTTGTCTGCAATGGGGGCTGTTCGGAATTTCGAATATTGGCAACCCCACCACCCGAGGTCGCTGCGTATAGTTTCCCCGTCGCGGGCTAGGGGACCTGCCCCTGGTGACGTCGGCAAAACTGCGACGATTAGGTGAACTGGGCCGCGCAGGAGATGGAGAACAAGATCTGGGCATTACTGGATTCTGCGGCGGTGTGTTCACATGGGCGTAGTTGTACATGCGTTGATCGTCGTACGCAATGTAATCAGGGTAGCGAGGAAATCTCGAGTACTGAGCATCGCGATAACGGCAAACTCTGTAGACGTGCCCAGCTTCGCCACAATGAAAGCATACCGGTCGACGGTCAGCGGTACGCCACAAATCGGTTTTCCGACGCTGGTAGGTAAGTGGAGACTCACTATTGCGCCACGTTGTGGGGCTACGTTGTGGGGCATGTTGGTTATACGGCATTCGTCTTGTCGGAGGAATCGGTGAGGTTGCGAAAGCGGTCGGTGCTGACAGTGGCTGTGTTTGCAGGGTTGGTGGTGGTCCAGTCATTGGGGTCTGCTGTGCTGAAGGAGCGACGACGGGGCGTCGGACTGCATCAGCATAAGTAAAATGTCGTCGCACACCATTATAGCCGGATGAAGAGAGAGCATGGCGGACCCAGCACCTCCACCAGTGTGACGAGGCGAGATTGACGAGCACACAAAGCGCCTCAAACAAATACGATTTTTCGATCGCAGGAAACAGACTGCAACGACTTCTTCGTCTTTTGCCCTCGGCCAAAGACACTCGCGCTCCTTCGTTGTCCTCACCACTGGCACATACGCGTGTCAATATCTATTACAATAATGCACAAACGAGCACATTCACCATGCAGTTTTGAAGGCACGTGCGTGGGCTTCGTTTAGAGTCAAAACGAAACTGCCGAGCACCTCATTTGCATCTGAGTAAACCTAGCTGGCTGAGGCATAATGAATTGCGGCTGCACAGTTCTGAAGGTGTTTGATGAAAACAAAACTACTATGTGGCAGCTTTTACTCTAATTGTCATCGACATGACCATTGATAGCACCCCGGAGTCCCCTGCGCCGAGTAAAAACGAAAACGAAACAATTAAGCTAGCCACAACTGCTGAAGCCTAGGTGGTGGCCATCCCCCCTGTACCTAATGATGTATGCATGCGCAGTTAAACGCGGGAGTTGCTGTAGCTCAGTTGATGGAGCATCGGACGCAGGTTCGGTTCCTTGTCGCGGCAAGTTATCTATTCGTTCACTTTTCCTTCTTCACATTTAAGTTGCATTTAGTGCTAGTAACATACCCTGTACTTTCCTTGGCTTTTATACTGTAAGTTCGCATCAACATGGCTGCATGAGTTTCATTGGACCAATGATTCCAATGTCAAATGTGGCTAGTGCCACGGTTATGCTTAGTTAGGCGTTGGCGCGACAAACATTTCGTAAAGTTCGGATGCGCGCAATTTGTATTGGATAGCCATCCACGAGGATTCATGCTTGCTGATCAAGCTAATTCACAAGCCTGATTACACTTACCACTGCGGCAGCGTCCATCGCATTCGTCCGGTGACGTGAAGGGCCCTTTTCCATCGCAGGTTCGTTCACACGTTCGAGACTTGTCATCGAATTGCCACGTTGGCCTAAAGCATAGGAAGTAGTTTACGCTTTTCTGTTCTGTAAAACATCGTTGGTCTACAAAAAAAGGGGTGGGGAAGGGGGTGGCTTAGAGAAAACGATAGAATAAGTAAGTTATTTGGCAGCATTTTTCCAAAATAGTATTCATCAGATCAGACAAAGGCGTGGCTTTTAACCCATACCATGAATATGCAATTCAGGGAGCCGTTCTGTAGAGTACTCTAGTGGACACTTTCATTAGTGCATGAAGCCACCTTTGCACAGAAGCAAACAAACAAATTGAATGTGCCCTTCCACAAACGCAGGAAATTAGCACCCTTATCTTTAGTGTACTTTTTGGGCAGGACGGTAAATATCATGGCCCTATTCTGTTAAGAAACATCGATTACTGGAAAACACGCTACACCCAGAAGAAACTGTAGTGGAATACAATCAGCTTCAAGAGTTCATTTTTGAAGAAGGTTACTTTTGGATTCATCTAACATCATTGCACAAGGTGCCACACCATGAGAATCTCGCAACGAGTGGGTTGTGTAAAGGACCACCGATTGCAAATCGCTCAGGCATAATTAACCATATTCATCAGGAACAACATCAATAGGATGTGCAGCTGAACGTTACGAATGCGTAGTGAGTACTTTGTGATTGCCGATATTATGACATGGAGAGCTTTTCGTAACAGCGCTTGCGATATAACTGCATTCTAAAGTCGGCGACGACATGAGAATAAACGCAGGCTTCGTTCGTAAAACGGCGTGTGCTAGTCAATCACATACATGAGACGGTCGAGCAAGCTGGTTTGCTTACCAACCCTAAATGTCGTTCTCCGCTGACGAGAGCAACGGGCAAATCTAAAACTAAAGGTCTCACCGACGAACCAAGTCTCGACGTTGCTAGCTATACCTTGCAGTGCGCCGCGAAAATTCCAGCAATCGCCCAGTGGCGGGTCATGAACCAGCAGATAGATGGTCGACTGCCGTTGCTATAGAGCAACAGTTTTCATCAGCATGACATGGAATGCCAACCTGCATTTTTATTTTTTAGATCAGGACACCGATGCGCTGACATGGGCTCAGCGAAAGCTTATTCGACGTCACTTCAAGCCATACAAAATGCCATAGAAAAAATATTGACTCCGTATCTGCATGGTACACTGAAAATATCGTCCACAGACGATGTCTTGCGTTTGGAGAGAGTGAATAAATCGTTTAGTTGATGTTCTGTGCAAGAAAATTGATGAATGGTATTCTGAAGGCGCTGCGTTAGAGTGCCCCGAGCGTGCAGCGGAGGTGAACGAGCGTATCGAGACATGTCACGCGTGAGACATGAGCGCTATCTGGCAGTTATCCTGGAAAACAAAGCGCGCAGCGTGCGCGCCTGTCTTGGAGGCGATAAGGTGTTGAACGCAAGGTGACGGGTAGGTGTGCCACCTTTTCGTCTTAGCAAAGCGTTGGAAACACTTCCTTTTTCACGCAAGCGTTGCACGGTCAGCACAGCATAATAAACGCTACGGTCCTTAAAATTACTTACGTGTGCCTTTTTTAGTGTAAAGGCAGACATACAGAATATTGACGTGTTGTTATGGTGCCTGAAATATGCGCGATACTCGCTTTCCATTTGACAATCGCACAAGTAAGAACGCTAGAGCTTGAGCAATATTGGTGGGCACTGCGGATGGGGTCCGCCGTTTGGGGTATCGTTCAGTGTCGTTTGAGGTACCGTTAAGGAGGGACAAACAGACAAACGTACAGACAGACAGAACAGACAGACAGACAGACAGACAGACAGACAGACAGACAGACAGACAGACAGACAGACAGACAGACAGACAGACAGACAGAAGGACGGACGGACGGACGGACGGACGGACGAACAGACAGACAGACAGACAGACAGGCAGACAGACAGACAGACAGACAGACAGACAGACCAAAGTTTTTGCGCCGAAGGTCCCCAAGAAACACTATCGTCTTTGAAAGAGCCTCGTGGTCCAGTGGTGTTTGCCCGCTGCACTACGAGGTTGTTCCGGATTACGTTGCGAACTCTCTTGCGGCACCACAAATGACTTGAAGTCGTCCGCGTCGGGCGCCTTAGGTCATTTCCGACTCCATAGCCACTCCAGAGACTCCTAAGTGAACCTAAAAAGTTCGCTTTTTCCGGTATTTAGTATTGTTCTTTGCATGCCCATATATTTTACCCCAAGCCGATGTTTTATTTTAGGCATCGGGAGGAGAGGGGCAATTGCATGTCTGCCTTTTCTTGTATTGTTATCTAACCGACCTGTCGACATGAAAATATTACCTCACAAAAACCACGGCTGAATGTGTGGAAACAATCGCCATTACTTGAGAACATTTTGAAAAGAGTACTGTGCACCCGACGCGAACAATAGAGTTAATTTTGGATCTACCCCGGCCACTGAAGATGACGCTGGTATCTTCTATGTCACAGTAATGATTCGTGACAATAATTATTCTACTGAACTTTCTGTTCCTGATGATATTGAGCCAGTATGAATTAGGACATCTTTTAATGATGTCTAAGCCATCGCAGCCAGCGCGTGGCAGTCATGAAATCAGCTCCGAACTGTTGGTACAGCGAAGAAGGAAGAAACGAGGGTTTTTTGCCTAGTATCTTACGCATCGCCCGGGTGGGGGACAGTTTTTGCAATGTTTTCACTGACAGCAAAACAGTTTTTGCAACGTTTTCACTAACAGTCGTTTAACAAGTGAAGGCGCCTCGTACGCTTCACGCACAAGTCACATTCATGCAACAAGCTTCATCTCAGCTAATTGCGCGCGTCTACATTTCGTTAAATGCGCTGTTATGTTTGTTATGTTTCTGTAACAACACACAATGAATTAGAAGCAAGTGTGCGTCATCGGTTCATTCTGAGAAGGGAACTAGTGCTAAAGTGCTAAAGCATCTTTGTTTCATGTTGTTTTGTCTTGTCTTCTGGAGGCCCCGCCGCGGTGGTCTAGTGGCTAAGGTACTCGGCTGCTGACCCGCAGGTCGCGGGATGATATCGCGGCTGCGGCGGCTGCATTTCCCTTGGAGGCGGAAATGTTGTAGGCCCGTGTGCTCAGATTTAGGTGCATGTTAAAGACCCCAAGGTGGTCGAAATTTCCGGAGCCTCCACTACGGCGTCTCTCATAATCATATGGTGGTTTTGGGACGTTAAACCCCACATATAAATCAATCAATCAATTCTCTTCTGGAGTGTGACAAGCTGCCGCTTAGTGAAATGACTTACGCATGACTGCGAACGTTTTTTAAGGATTCGATGTGCTCGGCACATAAAACAGTGCTCTCGAACAGTACACGACCCAACGCTGAGGTCGTGTACTTTTTTGCGTTTCATGTCTTGTGTACACTGACCATCAAGAGTAGGTTCCAAAGAACCCGATTGGCTGCATTACTTTAAGAACGATAAGCAGGTCACAATATAACACATTCACATTAATTAGTGCGAATAATGCACGCGACGACATACTAACCGACGAAACGACCATGCATGAAACAACCAATAAACTATTACATTCCTTATTTGTCGTTCAAGGTGCAATAAAAGACTCACATCCCAATAAAGGTATATAAACTGGTTAAAGAATGTCCCAGTGCTTCTGGTAATGATTGTAGACCTTATCTGGATGGTACTTTTTCAGTCCTCAACTGATAATGCCCACGACATCACAAGTACGATGGAGGCAAAAAGAAGGGACACGGGTTCGCGGAAGAGCAACGTATTTGGTAAATAAAAAAAGGCGTACACTTTTGAAATGCAGTCACCCGTGATGGCCGGTCAACATTAAATTGCGCTTGAGTAAAACAACACAGGCCAGAGTTGCATAAAATGAAGCGATAAGCGTAATATTGCGAGGTTGCATGATGGAAGCGGATGCACGAAAGGTTCTCGATTATCGCAATGTGTCTGCCTTGTGAATGAACTGTACGTAGATGTTGAATTGTGGCCATTTGGGAGTAAACTTAGCCGCGAGTAGTAGAATTGTGGTACAGATATGAGCGATATTGATGACCACTGAAATAACAAAGCCGCAAGCGAACCTAATTGGTAATCATTACGGCAAGTGATGCAACATTTTTGCCTATTCATTTCATGCCTTATGCAACATGGCATGTATACCGCCTTGATAAACGAAAAAAAAAAACTCAGACTATAATAAACCACGAGTAAATTGTGACCAATGAGTTCAAAGCTTAGGTGACGTACCATTTTTTGAGGAGCTCACAACCGCGTTCAGCCCGAGCAACACAAAACAAGGTACATGCATGGAAATTTTCATCTTTCCTAATAAGAAGCTGCCTAAGAAAGTGCAAATACCGATTTTTCTTGTAAACCGAGGTAAACAATACATACGTTCTCGTAGATAGTTTTCAGAATCATGCGTCAGCGCAAGCATTCCACTGTTTCTAACTTCATCTCTGTTTCGAATACAATGGTCATTGTTCCTGCGCGAAGGGAAAAAAAAACCAAGAGATACATACACAAACGTTGCTTGGTCACGTACAGCCGCAACGCTCTCAAATATCTGATAAATATAGGGCGATATTTTGTTTGCTGGACCGTAACACACTTTAGCAAAACCTTGTAGAAAAAAATCCACCAAGATGGAGGAGTTCTGCATCGTCATGTTACCCGAGAAGCGTGACAATGAAATGAACTTGGGGAAACAGCAGGTGCGCATCTGGATACTTAGCACAATGCCAACAATAAGAACGCTACTCGGCCAGGACCCGATGTCTGTATTATAATTTTCAGCTCCAACAACAGCTGTTCATTTCTGTATGTAACTGGTTAGCCGACACGCCACCTTACAAGACTTGAGGCTGTTGGAGCTGTCGGTTCATCGTCCTGAAGGGGGACTATAGTTCCGGAACTAGGAGTGTAGGAAGAGTCAACTTCAGCCTGACGTCCTCAAAGTGTGCTCTTTTCTGCGAAAAGCCGCAAGCCATGGTGTATAAAAACGCAACACCGTCAGAAGGATGGGCCGCGTTAAACCTAATTGGGGGGCTAACGAGACTCAGACTAAATTAACGGCCTCCAACACTCGCGTGACCAAAAGCGGGTGTCCGGTGATCGGCGCTCACCACATTGAAGCGCATCTCGTTCCTCTTAATATGTAGTGTCGGAAGCTGTGAAACCTTTCTCACGTCCTTTTCGCGTTGCAAAAAAAAAAAAAAGAACCACATACAGAAAGCGCGCTGCTCGTCAAGCTCCGGGCAATCAGTGGTGGCTGAAATGAATCATCCATTGAATGCGCGTTTCGAGCATGGAGTTTCCTAAAATTAACTAGAGGGGACTCTGGAGCTGCGATCGTTCACATTGTGGTTATAAGAGGGAAAAGAAGAGAAAAGTGAGTCCCGTAATTGTCTGCATCAGCGTGCGACACCTCAACAGTAGCTCACGAAGGATGGGAGTGAGGAGGAATTAAAATGATAGGATTAAAGGTAGCGAGAGAGAGAGAGATGCGCAAGGACAGCGAGCGACGACATAAGAGAGATAGGAAGGATGGAAACACGGTCACAGGAGTTCGAGGACGGGGCACCTCTTGCGAGAGCTCTTGTCGGCGACAGGAGATGGCGTAGGGCTAATCCAGTCGGCCAGAGCTGCGCTGACATCGTCGTGAGAGACCGGCGGCAGGAGGTGGCGTAGGACCAACCCAGTCGACCAGAGCTGTGCTGTCGTCGGAGATCGCGAGGGCACAACCGGTCGGCCAGGAATCCAGCGAGCCGATCGGTCAACTACCACGCGAATGATGGGTAGTACATGGATTTGCCTAGTGTTCGTACTTGCCGGCGGTGCATCGCACTTGTGGCTTTTTTTTTAGTGCCGTCAGAGTTTCGGCTTTCTTTTGAAGGTATGAACAAGCTCTTTAAACTTCGTGAGCCAATTTCGTAGGGTAATTATGCCTAAAAGAATAAAGTGGTGAAGCCAACCGCTGAACTTTTGCTGATCTTAGTTCCGTGAGAAAACAACTCCAAGCCACAAGAACACACACAGAGCCAGAAGTACGAAGATTAGACAATTCTCTGTACTACCCATAATTCCCGTGCTCGCTGAATCGCCTTGCGTTGCAGCTCCCATAGACACTATAGTGGCAGAGTTTCCTTTAGTGTATATTTAGGAAACTCTTTGCTTTCTAAGAGCTCTCTTACGTGCTACACAATTGGCGAAAACAACATGGCGTCGTAAACAGCATATCAGCCTGTGCGAATTTTAACAAATGCCTCTCGCTTGAGTTTCTTCAGCGTTCGACTGGACGTGTTGTGATTGCCGCTGCTTTATCAGTGGACGCAAGTGGTGTGAAAACCAGCGCCAGGGTATCGGTTCACGGTGAAACGTAGCGAACCCTGAGCCTCGGTGTGTTATCAAACAAGATCGGCACCAATGTATCACGGCAACTAGCACCGGAAAATCCTGCAATGTGTGTTTGTGCGCTGGTGACAGTTCGCTCGCTTCGCTTTCCAGTCTCTGAATAGGGTGCTGTGAGACATTTCGGATTGACAGCGTTTTGGCACGTTACTTGAGTGACCCCAAGTACTTACGTACGGTACCGCATGAACTACGCGCTGTGTTGGGGTCTTGCTTCGAGGCTGGTTAGCCAGTGTGATTCTATTTTCTTGTGAGCCGTCCACTGTTCGGGAGTGAAACGATATTGGTTGTGAAGAGTGGTGCTGTGTTGGCTTTTCCAAGACTTGTGAAGAAGCTGTGCTCTTGTGAAAGAAAACTGAAAGACAGCGTTAATGACGGTTTCGCCCTGAAAAATGGCGGCGGTGGGGCTTGGCGTTTTTGTTTGCTAACTTTTGTACTTCTCCTGTTTGTGGTAAACATAGTCCGAGTGCCCTGATGTGTCGAACCGGAGTCGCGAGATGCTACATGCTGATGTGGATCATGTTGCTTTGGCAGCACGCCTAGGCAGCTCTTCGGCGAGAACTTAAGAGTTTTACCTGCCAGCAAGAGCCCGTAAACCTTAAGTTTTTTTTCGGCGCTCAGAAAGAGAATATTTCACCGGTGCCTTGTTTTAAATCAAGTTGTAGGCCAGTACCGGCTAACTACCGGTTTTCGAGTTCGTCTGGCCATCGTTTTTCATGGCAGTAGAGCCTTTGCAATAGCGGTTCATGGCCAGATCTTACACTATCAATAAACGTGCACGCCTGACCAGCCTTCCATCGCTATGTCATCAGCAGCTTCCATTCTGCAGATGTACTTTGCCTATTTGCCCCAGAGCACACTTGGTCCTTGATCACACTGGTGGCTACTGAATGCTCTGCCATCGGTGAGTTGTCCTCGCAGAACTAAATTTGTTGTTATTCGCATAGCACTATAACATACGTTTTCCAGCTACGCTTCTTTCGATTGACCCAAACTTGCAACTTCGTTTACCATCCGGGCTCCCACGATGCGTTGCAACTTTGCTGTGTCGCATGAAGTTGGGCATGGCATTTACAAATGCGTGTATCTTCTTGTCTCCTTGGAATGTCGAGCAGTTCGACATGTAACATTTACGCCTGCGGGGAGATGCTTGAGCGAATTCTACGCCACTGCCCGGCATACCAGTCTGAACGACGTATTATGAAAGCCAAGCTCTGCCAGCTGGATTCACTGCCGCTTACAGAAAAGATCCTGGGACCTTGGTCGGCGGTTTCGCATACGCGCAAAGCAGCGGAAACTCTTTTGTACTTCTTGAGGACCACCAGACTTCACGAGCGCTTGTCAAATAACAGTGTGAGACCATGTTGTGTAGTCTAGAGCTGACTATTCATCCTTCTCTTTCTTACTCCTGTTATTTTCTATCTTTTTTCTTACTGTCACACGTGCTCCCTGAAGATGCACGTCTCCGTCCCTAGTTGGTCTTTTATCACCCAGTGGACCAGGAAGTGGCCTGGAAGCAGGCATGACAGCCTTATCTGGAAGGACTGTGATGTGCCTTGGTGCTTCGAGGGCAGAAAACTGTCTAATGGCTGGTTGCAAGGCTAGTTTGTTTTAAATACCTACGATTAAGTAAACACCACTTAACGTGCACACATCTGAAAACCCAAACATGGTTGTTTGCAGTCGATGCTTGTAATATTCTCACACATATTGCTAACTGAATTATAATAGAAGTTAATTGCGAGATAAATAATTACGCTCAAAGTGGAAAGCCTGCAGTTTATGAATTAAACTCTATTCATTTGAGGCTGAAACGCTCGTGAATTTGAACGAGCACGAATAGTTTTGTATCTTATGCAGCTCTCGAGCTTGTAACTCACTCGGAGGACCAAGTGCTCTGGAAGGAAATAGCAAGTGGGTGAAAATCGCCTGGCTGTTCACAACTTGCAAAGAGAGAGGCCTATTGAACAAGCCTCAAACGACATAGGGCAAGTAACTTCATATTTTATTTGACGTAGCTCTTTCTCTATATGTGCCGTGGCATGTTGTATTTAAGCTGAACATGTTCACCACTATTTATAGTAATTCATTTTTTTCTACAATCTTTACCGGACCTAAGTATGCATAGTTGATCTCTAAAGGTGACTCTCGGTGTGCCCTGTCCGTGGCAAGCCTACCTGAGCAGCAGTGCGATGCAGCCAGCAGTCATGCAAGCCAGGTCATGGGGCGCTTCTTTGGTGTTCCGTGCAGGACAAAGCATATCCGTCCAGCATGACACTGACATCAATGGTAATAGTAAGTGTTGGTGAAATCTGTAGGAGCCCACTCAAATGAATAGGCAGAGTGTGTGTTTGTTGCGTACGAATATTTTTCCTAATGATGTGCATTTTTCAAAGGTTTTCTTCATTTGGAATAATAGATGTGAGTAACAAGCACACTCATATTCCGCAAGTGCTTTGTGTCTTTTAGACTGTTCATTTGCTCCTGTATACTGTATGACGAGCTGGCCATTTTAGGTAACTTTAAAGTTATGATCAATAGCTGTTGTTTTGTAAGACAGTCTAACTTGTGTAGCCTAGTGAAAACATTTGTGGTCGGCTTCTCACATGTAGCGTAAAGTCACAATACAAAATACTTTATTGACTCATGCCTGGTAAAAGTTTCATGCCTTCAAAATCAACATCGTAGTTATGCACTTGTATCGTAAAATATATTTTCACTCTTCACTGTTTGTGTGTGTGTTAAGAATTCTTTTCATTTATTACTTCTTCGTACTTGTAACCTGCTTTTGAAAATATGACAGCTGTGAATATGAGCACATGTTTATAAACTGTACACTTTTGCTTGTAGAGAGATTGTAACAATGATCTGTATTTTTTAAAGTTCCAGCAATAACAAGGTATCAGGTGCTCCACAG